AGTTACAAAAATATACTGTCTTTTAACTTTACCTATAATTTATTTATTTATTTGTGTGGATTCATGTTGCTGTCTACTATCCTTTCAATTCACCTTGAAACACTAAAAAACTCCCTTTAGTATTTCCTGTAAGTCAGATCTGCTAAGGATGAATTCTCTCACTTTTTGTTTGTCTCAGAATGTCTTGATTTCCAATTCATTTTTGAAAGACAGTTTTACTAGATTTCAGATTTTCTTGACAGCTTTCTTTTTTCCTTCAGCCCTTTAAATGTATCATCCTGTTTCCTTTTGGTCCCCGTGGTTTCTAATGAGAATTCAACGTTAGCCTTGTTAAAGATTACTTGTATGTGTACAGTCATTCTTCTCTTGTTGCTTCAAAATTCTCTTTGTCTTTGATTTTTGAGAGTTTTAACTATGATGTGTCCTGGTTCAGATTGACTGTGATGTCAGTTCTAATCCGACTTGGACTTTGTTGAAACTTTGGGGTAGCGATTAATATTGTCATCATATTTGGGGAGTTTTCAGCCATTATTTCTTCAAAAATCTTTCTGCCTTTCTTTCTCTTTCTCTCTCCTTCTGGGTCTTCTAATATGTGTATATTGTTATGGTGCCCCTCAGATCTGTTAGGCTCTGTTCATTTTCCTTCATTCCCTTTTTTTCCTAATCCTCATACTGGATAATATCAGTTGAACTATATTCAAGTTTGTTGATTCTTCCTTCTGCTAGTTTAAAGCCACTGTTGAATCATGTAGTGATTTATTTTATTTTTTTTTTATTTCTGTTGTACTTTTCAACTCTAGAATTTCTGTTTAGTTCTTTTTTGTGATTTCTGTATCTCCTTACTGACCATCTCTTTTGGTAAGACATTGTTCTCATAATTTCCTTTAATTCTTTGAACATATTCATAATTGCTGATTTAAAGTATTTGTGTAATATGTCCCAAATCTGGGTTTGCTCAGGGACAGTGTCTATTAACCTACTGCTTTTTGTGTCCTGCTTGTGTGTGAGCCCTACTTTACCATTATTTAATGTCTTGTAAGTTTTATTGTTGAAAACTGGACATTTAAAATAATGTAGTATAGCAACTGGTGAAATAAGATTTGTCTTCTTTCCAGAGTTTGCTGTTATCTCCTTTTGCTGTTGCTCTTGCTGCTGCTTGATAATTCAGTGATTTTCCTGGATTGATACTAAAGAAAAGTCTCTATTCTTTGTTGTGTGTTGTCCCTGCTTGGTTAGTTTGTTGTTGTTGTTATGTGCCATCAAGTCAGACCCAACTCATAGCGACCCCTCCTTGGGTTTCCGAGGCAGTATCACTATGGAAGTAGATTGCCCAACCTTCCTTCCGAGGAGTGGCTGGTGGGTTTGAACTGCCAGCCTTCTGGTTAGCAGTCAAGTGCCTTAGCCACTATGCTACCAGATCAGCTAATGATTGGACAGAGGTTTCCTTAAGTCCTTGAACCCATAATTCTCCCAGTCTTTGATGAGGGGCAGTATAGGTGTTGGAGTATACCTTCAACAATAATGGCAGGTAGTTTACAAGTCTTCCTTAGTCCTAACTTCCTGCATGTGCCTCAAGGTCAGCCAAAGGTAATTAGAACCCAGGTCTTTTCTAGGCATGCACAAAGCCACATATAGGCACATCTGTAGTTCTAAACAAGTGTCCATGATTGTTTTTTCCAGCCAATTCAGTTATAGGGCTGTTCACATAGATAAAACTCTCAATCAAGTCAAATAAAGATAATTTGTGAGAATGGAGCTTTACAGGTCAAATAGTGACATTTCTCTGGGGATGGAGCTTTTCGAGAGCTCCACACCTGTTTTGCAACCTCCAGTGGTTAAGCTGGTCATTTTCAAAGCCACCACAGGAAGTCCCCCACTTGTAATGGGGTTCTGTTCCAATGACTCCATTATAAGTCACTTCTGATGTAAGTCAAAGACCTTTTTTTTTTAAGCTTTCATTATTACTACCTTTTATTATCACTATCTCTATAAATCCAATCTTTATTTGTCTTTGAGCATCTGCAAGTGAACATCTGAGAATGACCTAGAAAAGCAAACCCACTACCATCAAGTTGGCTCTGACTCATAGTGACCCAGTGGGACAGAGTAGAACTGCCTCCATAAGGTCTCCAAGACTGTAAGTCTCTCTGACAGAAGCAGACTGCCACATCTTTCTCCCACAGAGCATCTGGTATCTTCAAACTGTCTACCTTTTAGTTAACAGTCGAGTGCTTTAACCACTGCACCACCAGGGCTCCTTCTAAGAATGATAACATCAACAAATTTCATGCTGCAACACTGTGTGTAGTACATGTTATTAGTAATAAGATGTACCAAAAAGAAAACATTAAGTGCAGTTCATCATAACTCAAATATGTCATAAATCAGGGATCACCTATGTGGTTGTGAAACTTTTGATTTTCGAGGCTACCACAGAGCTAGAGAGCAGAAAATGGGAGTGAGGGAATTAAAACACCAGTAAACTCGGTATTCTTACCAAGATTCAGCCGCTTTTCCAGAGTAAACACTCCCTGAGTTTTCAAACTTTGATTATATTCCAGAGTTCTGAAAAAATTGATTTTTGACCTATTGTTTGCCTGTATTCTCATTGCTTTTATGATAGGATAGCAGATTTTCAGAGTTCCTTACACCATCTCAGAAATGCTTTTGCCCTATGTTGTTACATTAAAATCCATCAATCAATCTTGACTTTGAATGGATCTTCTACCAACCCATGGTATTATAACATTATGCATTAGTCATTTGGAAAATAATTTTTTTTTTAATTGTGATTTGGGTGAAAATTTACAGAGCAAATTCACTTTCCACACAGCAGTTCACATACACTTTGTCTCATGACACTGACCACAATTCACCACAATGCAACAGCTCTCTTCCCACTCCCTCCGATAGTCACCTCTTCCCTGTGTCCATCCCTTCATGCACTCCTGCCCCCTGAACTGTCTCCCGGTGCATAAGCAGCCCTTCTTTCTCCCATGATTGTTCTCTCCAAGGAGTGTATCTACCTCAGGTAAATGTTCAACTCCTATGCCTATCCTTTGCTTGGCTGGAAGCAACAGGTGTGGGTTCAATTCCAGACCTGAAGGGCAGCTAGGGCCATTGTCTCACTGGTTCCACCAGGCTCTATTGGACCAGCAAACCTGGTCCCCCTTTTTTTTTTTTTGAAAATAATTATTTACTGAGTTATGAAGATCATCTTCTCAATGATAATGTATTTCATTATATAATACTTTAATAACACATTATTTTTAATATAACCACTGATCTCATTTAAAATAAAAAAGAATCTAACTACTGGAAAATGTTCATGCTCATCTTACCAGACACAAAGTTTTCCAAAATTCCAATTTTCACTTAAAGCTCAAATTTAAAATTAACAACATATATTGTTTGTGGTTTTCCTTGAAGAGACAAGCTGCCTCTGTTCCTTTTCAAGAAAATGTTGGCTCAGTACCCAATTCTTTATAACCACAGCTTGATGTGGTCATTTCCTACCCATGACTTTGCACCATTAGTGCAAATACTAACACAGTATTCTAGGCAAATGACTAAATATTACTAGGCAAATATCTCAATATTATCTTTAAAACAGTTTTTACTTTATGTAATATTCAGAAAATGTCATGAGGCCCCCTGGGGATCCTTGAACCACAGTTTGAGAATCAATGTATAAAGGAATTGAATATGAATTTCTGGCTTTTGCCTTCTAATATCAGAATGACTAGCCCATGATGAGAGGTGAACGTAAGGTAAGCTCAAAGACTGAGACATGCTGACCTAAGTATTAAATTAAATTAAGTGGGAGAGACAAATAATTGCCAAATAAATCTGTAAAATAAGATACTATGGACAGTTGAAAAAAATACCAAGAATTGGAGAGGTTTGCTGAAAACAATACTGTAAGTATTATTAAGAATAGTAACTAAATTATTATTTAGGATTTGTACATACAGTATGAAACCATAAAAGGAAAAAAAAAAAGGAAAAATTTGATGCACAAGGCAATTCCATACATTAACATCTCTTTATCTCTAAAGCAAACAGTAACACCAGGGAGGTACACACCCCTTAGTACAATCAACCATAAGAGATTAAATGGGGAGCATTTGCCCAGGGATAAAGCTTAGAAGCAGGAAGGAATAGGATAGAAGGAAGAATGGAAAAGAGAAACACAGGGAGGAAGTGGGAGAGTGCTGTTACATTGTAGGGATTACAATCAATGTCACAAAACAAAATGTATATGAACTGTTGAATGGAAAACTGATTTGTTCTGTCCTTTTTCAACCTTATCACAATCAAGTTTAAAAGTGAAATAAGAACAAGCTTTCATTTGACTATATCTGCAAAATAGAAATGTAGATACTGATTTTGGTAATTCTTGAAAGAGTATGTAGTATTAATATGTAATATTCTTTCTACCTAAAAACCCTACAAGCCCAAGATAACAGTCTTCCAATATATAAGATTAAGGGTAATAAATTAAATTTGAAGTTACAACACAATGACAAATATGACCTCAGAAGTATTATCTCCAAGCCTTGCTAAAATAGGACATATTTAGAGTATGAAGGGGCATGCTCTATTCCAAAGACAAAGAGGTAGGAGAGATAATTTATGTCAAAAAGAGATATACTACACTTAGCAGTGTTTCCTGCTAAGCATGTGATGCAATAGATCTCTCATATACAGCTAGGGGGAATGGAAAGTTGCAATACCACTACAGGAAAGAAAAAAAAGAAATGACACTATCTATTACAGTTGAAGATGCATATACCTTGTGACTTAGTAATAATTTAAATTTTTTACACTTTTCTACCAACGAGTTTTCTTTTGAAGTATTATCTGTTTATGGTACTTTTCTCTAAGTGACTCTCATCTATGTAAAATAAGACTTGTTTACTTTATTTGTAACGGATTTACTTGTAACTTCAAATCATTCATATACTTTTCAAGGCTTGACTATTCTTTTTTTATTGCAGCCCTTTGGAGTAAATCAACCTGGACCATATATCATGTACACAACTGTAGATGCAAATGGTTATCTGAAAAATGGTTCAGGTAAGATTGGATAAAATGTCCATAATGCATTAAATCACCTTTAAATATATTGTTGTTGTTGTTGTTGTTGTTGTTTGCCATCGAGTCGGCCCCGACTCATAGCGACCCCTCCTTGGGTTTCCGAGGCAGTATCACTACGGAAGTAGGATTGCCCAACCTTCCTTCCGAGGAGTGGCTGGTGGGTTTGAACCGCCAGCCTTCGGGTGAGCAGTCAAGTGCCTTAGGCACTATGCTACCCGAGCTCCCGTAATTAAATATATTGGCAAAGTAAATTTAGTGGCAAACATTGTCAGTTTTTCACAGCTCTTTATAAAATAATTTATTCTTATTATCTTAGAATTTCAGTAGACTTACATTGGTAGATTACTGAAGGTCATCATGACAAGGTCCTTGTATATCCCTATTGTGATAGAGCCAAATCATTATCCTTATTTTTCAACTGAATTAAGAAAGGCATTGGAAGAAAAATTACTCAATTTATCTTGATTAAAGAGTGAACTGTAAATTAGTTGATAATTAAGGAGATCATCTTAGAAGAAAAAGGGAAATCAATGAGTACTACATTCTAGACTAATCCTAGTTTTTTCATGTGTGGAGTTGAAGGTGGGGTATTATCTGAAAGGGTTTTTAGATCTATGAGTTTTGTTTTGTTTTTAATTCTAGTTATATTTTTTTTTTCACTCCCCATTTACCATCCCCACCCCTAACCCAGTTTCCTCCCCTCCCTGCCCATTAACACCCCCCACACACACCGCGCCCCTCATAGTCATGCATTCCTGTGTGTCCTGCATTTGCTCCCTGGGAATGTTGCCCCTCTCATGCCCCGTGGTCAATTGCTTCAAGGGATGCATATCCATAGAGTATGTGGGTGCCTCACCCTGGCTTGAGTGGTCTGCGTATACAGCTTGTTTACTATTGGGCTGAGAGCCAGTCCGTGGGAGTGAGTTTTATTCCAGGCCCAGAATGTATCCCAGGGCCATAGTATTGGGGGTCTTGTGAGACTCCATCCGACCAGTAATTCTGGTGATTATTGAGTCTTTGGATTTTGTTCCACATTTTCCCTCCCACTCTACCCAGGATCTCCAGATATGATCCTTTCCTGAGTGGTTGGCACTGGTAGGCAGGCACTGTCTAGTTCTTCTGATCTTGAGGCTATCGTGTTCTAGCTTATTGCTTCCAAATGCCCTTGGTTTGTTTTTGGGTTTTTTTTTTGGTTTTTTTTTTGCACTTTTCTTCACTTCTGACGATATGAGACCAATAGCTGCATCTTAGATGGCTGCTTGAAAGCTTTTAAGACTCCAGTCGCTATTCACCAGTGTAGGATGAGGAACAACACTTTTGTGTATTTTGTTGTGCTAATTGAGTCTGGTGTCCCCCAGTACTATGGTCCTGAGTTGGCAGATCAAGTGGATCGCCCTCCCACAGTGTCTGGGTGTCTGTGAGGAATTACTCTGTGTCTATCTTCTGTTGTTTCTGTAAGGATTGGAGGTATTTTGTATCACTGGTATCTGTGCAAGATTGGTAGATTGAAACCCAAGCCTGGTGGGTTTGAACCGCCAGGCTTCTGCTGAGCAGTCAAGTGCCTTAGGCACTGCGCCACCAGATCTAGAGAGTAGTATCAAGAAAAAACCTACTGCCATCGAGTCGACTCCCAATCCTAGCAATCCTATAGGACAGAGTAGAACTGGCCCCATAGGATTTCTAAGGCAATATATCTTTACAGATGCAGACTGCCCCATCTTTATCCTATGGAGCAGCTGGTGGGTTCAAACTGCCAACTTTTTGGCTAGTAGCTGAATGCTTTAACCACTGCACCACCAAAGCTCCTTAGTGTCATGAAATTCTGCCCCAAATTTTAAACAGCAAAAATTCCTAGTTTAAATGTGAAGCATTTTGAGCGCTAAAGAAGTACTCGTTGGTAACACCCATTTTACCACTGTCAAGAGCTGTAAGAAGGAAGATGGCCATCTTTATGTATTTCAGACCTCGTATTCTCATGGAGCAGTGTTTTTGTTTGTGGTGGTGGTGGTGTTTGTTTTTCATACTGAGGTTTGTTACTTATTTGTGGGTCATGAAATTAATTTAGTGGCTTATGAAATTAACTTACTGGCTTATGTTCAGCACTTTATTGGATAAACAACAAAATATCAGAGTAGTCATCAAAGGAAAGTTAAGTACTTTTTCATGAAAATATTATTTTACTTTGTGTGTGTGTCTGTACTGGGTGATGACATAAAATGTAGTTCTTACTATAGCTAAAAATTTGGCCTTGGCGACAGAAATAATGCTGGAACTACCAAATACTTTGTGGTCTTATGCCATTTCCCCACAAAGACTGCCAAGTGTTATTAGACAATTATTTTACAGAAAGGTCATTAATTTCTAAATAAACAGTAGTTCCTATGACAAATCAAAAAATTCAACTATATTTATCATAAGCTAATCTCATTCTGACTCTAGGACTGTGTTTATCACTGTTTATAAATTAGCCAGAGATCTGCATCAGAGATTCAAATTCCCAAATAATATTTGATAAGAACTTACTAGATTGGTGAATGTTAACAAAATCCATAGACAAGTTGTGAGCTGTTGGTCATTTATGAATAATAACTTTATTAAACTGACAATTGTTTCTCTACCCTTTAAATTACTGGCTTTCCTTTTTAAGTCCAGAGGAAGTGTTGTTGTTGTTGTTGTTGTTGTTTGCCGTAGAGTCGACCCCGACTCATAGCGACCCCTCCTTGGGTTTCCGAGGCAGTATCACTACAGAAGTAGGATTGCCCAACCTTCCTTCCGAGGAGTGGCTGGTGGGTTTGA